CGTAGATCGTTAGCGAGTGCTATGGCTTCCACGAGCCCCAACCCTGGTCCTTCAGATCAACAGGTTATGAGCGCCCAATTTAACGAACAACCCTCCGCAGGGCGTCGATGGAGCTGTAGCACGGATGGAAGGCGAAACTGCAGGCCCGGACTATGATGGTCAGCGAGTTGGTAGGCCACAGCTGCCTAACGGGGTTCTGAGGGCCTCTCCAAAGTCTTCGCCAGAAGTGGATATACAGTCTTTGCCGTATTCGCCTATGAGGCCATCTGGAACGAGCGGGCAGTCAGGCTTTTTGGGAGAGGTCTGGCCAACCCAACCGGAGCCTCAAGAGGCAGCGCGGATTGAGGCCAGAAACACTGAGGAGCTTCCTGCGGCGATGCGGTGGATGCAACGCTTGGGTGATTTCCTGAGGCAGCATACTGCTATGGAGTTCACGACGACTACAAGGCGGCAGATTATGGGTTCCTCAGCAAGTGGTTCTGGTTTCATGGTACAGCAGCAGGTGCAGCATACGGCCTCTCACCCTCACACGCCGGTTGCGGACCCACAAGCAGCACGTGGGTTTCTGGTTTTCCTGAGACAGACCCGCCGTTGTTTGGGCGAGGCGCGCTGCGGGCGATGGAGTCTTGGCCTAAGCAGGCTCCCTTACTTCATGGAGCCTCCAGGGGCTCGGCTGCCACAGACGACGCCTCGTCTGCCTCGATTCCCAGAGAGCTCGTGGAGGCGGAGGTGCGGCGCCAAGTAAAGGAGGCTTTGCAGACGCAGCAGCGGGGATTGGAAGAGCTTCGTGCTGAAAACCAGATGCTGAAGACAAGGTTGATGGAAGGAAGAGAACATCCGGATGCTGAGCTACAGCTACCCTCTGCTCAGGCTCTACCACAAGGCAATCGGGCTCAGCAGCACACAAGTCATGGTGTACTTGGCGGTGATCGGGCTTATTCGCGAGATACAGAGGTACGTGCAGGGGATCGGGCTTACATTCAGCCTCCGGAAGTACCAGATGGCAATCGGGCTCAGCAGCACACAAGTCCTGGAGTACTTGGCGGTGATCGGGTCTTATTGCAGTCTCAAGATGTACCTAGGGGTGATCGGGTTTACATACAGCATCCAGAAGTACCAGAAGGCAATCGGGCTCAGCAGCACACAAGTCCTGGCGTACTTGGCGGTGATCGGGTCTTATTGCAGTCTCAAGAGGCACCTAGGGGTGATCGGGCTTATTTGCAGGCTTCGGAGGTACCAGAAGGCACTCGGGCTCTGCAGCACACAAGTCGTGGAGTACTTGGCGGTGATCGGGCCCCTGCGCAGTCTCAAGATTTACCCCATGGTGATCGGGCTTATCTGCCAGTTTCAGATGTACCAGAAGGCACTCGGGCTCAGCACACAAGTCGTGGTGTACTTGGCGGTGATCGGGTCCTTGTGCAGGGTGCAGACGTACCTGGAGAAGATTGGATTACGAGCCTTAGGGTACCTCAAGGAGACGATCGACCTCGAGCTCTATTACAGGCCAAAGCGTCGGGACCACTATGTGGAGGGATTTAGCGACGCGAGTTTCGCGCCACATGGTTCTCGAAGTGTGGGTTGCTGCCTTACAAGGTATTTGGAGCAACCAGTGGCTTGGAGGTGCGGCCGCCAGGCTTTAGTAGCCTTGAGCGTAGCGGAAGCAGAGCTTGTGGAAGCTATCAGCGCTGCTCAGATGTCCTACGGTGTGATTGCAGTTACAAGTGAACTGCATACAACGGGGCCTACGTTGGTTTTAAAGGTTGATAACGCTGCGGCGGTTGGCCTCTGCAACGAGTCGGCGGGGACATGGAAGACTCGCCATCTTCGTGTACGTGCTTATCATTTAAGAGAAGCTGTTAGGTTGAAAGAAATTACGATCGAGCACATCCCAGGTGTTAATCAACTGGGAGATTTGGGGACGAAAGCGTTCCATCGTCCTCGTCTTCAACAACTACTACAGCTTTGGGGCCTTGCGACCCCGGAAGAAAAGGAAGGCGAGAGAGTCTCTACTTCGAGTTTGGCTAGGCTCAATGGGACGGCGGTTACCTTGGCACGACTTGTTCTTGTTCTGGGATGGCTGGTGCAAGGCTCCAGGGCGTCGACTACGGGCTACGAGGCTATGCAAGTGAGTTTTCCTTGGGAGCTGTATGGTGCAGCTCTGGTGGCTGTTGTAGCGGCGATTGGTGTCTGGGAGGGCATCAAATGGTTCTTCGAGTGGGTGTCTCTGAAAAGGAGTGGTTCCGTGGAAGAGTCACGACAAGCAAGAAGGCTGCGCAGGCTACAACAGGCGGTCTCAGAAGAGGTCGCCCGATACGGACTGGACGACGATCAACCGAGGACTCCAGTCCCCGCGGCACCTATGTCTACAAGGGCTACTCCACCTAGCTCGCCGTTTCGCCCCGCAGAGCGTCGACGGCAAGTGGCGACCGCTGTGGCAGCGGTCCAAACGGACTTCGATGATGGCTACCAGCCCTTCACGGGCCCGTTCGTCGTGAGCGAGCATGGTGATCGAGTGCATCACGATGGCACGTGCCATGGGCTGAGAAACGCCTTGCACAGGCGCAAGCATCTGCAGTTATGTCAACACTGCCAGCGGGCCCAGCAGATCTATGTGAGAGTGGGCCAGCAACTCCAGGACTTACAGCCCAAGGAGGAGTGTTGGTGGTTACGACTGGATGCTGT